GCCACACAAATGAATTCAACTTCTGATGAATGTAAAAAAAAAATGACCAGCTTGAACGCATCATTTCGACGTGAAAAAATGAAAATAAAAAGTAGTCAAGGAACTGGCACAGGTAATTATATTTATGTATGTACATTGTACGGTGTGTCCGATACAGAGACGGCGGTATGTCAATAGCGAACCGGTTTTGGAACCGGAACCCTTTCAATATTGGGAACCGAAACCTCACCGAAACCCTAATTCAAATTAATTTTAAAACCGGAACCTCACCGGAACACTTATTTAAATTTATTTAAAAACCGGAACCTTACCGGAAACCTTATTTATATTTATTTAAAAACCGCAACTTAACCACAACCCATACTTTTTTTTAAAGGTTTTTACATTTAATTTCGGTTTTGTTATATCATTAATTTTATTTAATATATCTGTCAATTGTCATTGGTACGTGGTAGATAATAATATAATATGAACTAAACAAATTCGTAAATCTATTATTATTATTAAGAGGTTAATTATACAAAAACAATCCTTCAATATTTGTATTTTGTACGTAACAACTGATAATGTAATAGAAATGAGAAATTCCCAATAAAAATAAGTCATTATTTACTGCATATTATTATATGTAGGTACCTATAGGGGTTCCAGTTACCACAATACCAAGCAATTCTCAATATAGGTATATGGTTAATATTTATAAATAACTAGGCATTTTATGATTAAGTATATTATTACTATTACTATTGTTAGATCAATTAATAGTTCATACAAATAGATTGTTTGAAAAAAAAATTTAACTAAAGAGTAAGATTTGCTATATAATTTACATTTTTATAAGTTTTGTTTTATTTTAAAATTTAAAATATTATTTGTTACATATTATAAGTTTATTACTTAATTTTATGTATAAGTACATAACATTTTAATTTGAAAGGGGTTTTTTTTTATTTTAAACAAGATTTTATTATAATCCATTATGATGTTTAAGACGTTTAAGTTATCCTTATCATCAAATATTCAAAGTATACTACGATAATTACTACCTCGTATAATTTATTTGTCATAAGTACCAATATTATAACTAATGTATGAATAATATCTTTACATTTCAAACGTTTTATTTTATCTTTAACGTAATTATGTGTATATATTAATTTGTGTATGACTAAAATGATTTTTAATTGTCACTATCATTAAGTATTCTAAAATGTTTTGATTTTAACTTTTTACAGATCATTTTAAGGTAAAGCACATACTTATAATTAATATATAATATCTATGAGGTGAATAAAATAAAGTAATCAGATTAAAATCCTGTGAAAATGGAATAGACTTTCCAATCTACTATCTTCTTAAACCCCTGACCGCAAGTCTCTAGCCTAAGAAAATATAATATCTGGTAACTGGTGATAAAAAAAAATAAATTATTTTTAAAATCTTAAATACTGAATAATAATGCAACAAGTAGTAATTGGTAAATGCTACATAGTAATCTAGTAAAATACAAAAAGTGTTATTTGAAACGGGATAGTACATGAAGTTATTTAGTCCTTTCCTTTGTCCTAAGCAATTGGTAGAATTTCTACCAATTAGTAATGACGCCAACGAAACTTATCAAATATTTCTTACATGAGTGTTAACTTTCAAGTATAAAACCTAAACAGGAATTTCATTTCAGTTTTCATTTTTTAAGAACCGAAAAGAAACCGAAACCTACATTTTTGTCAAATTAAAAACCGAAACCGAAATTTCGATTTTTTTCAAAACCGAAAAGAAACCGAAACCGAAATTCTAGTTTTTTTTAAAAATCGAAAAGAAACCGTAACCGAAATTTTAGTTTTCTTAAAAACCGAAAAGAAACCGAAACCGAAATTTTAGTTTTTGTAAGAACCGAACCGGAACCGGAACCGTCAAAATCATCAAGGTTCCAGTCCCTGGTCCGATACACCGATATGTTATCTGTAACGATAAATATATATATATATATAATTATGTGATTATTATGTGTGTCCGCCGTCGTGCGTAATGATAAATAAAGCAGTCGTACTTTGTCAATGCTCGTGTGTGTACCTACGTCCGTCATGTATAATATACGTAACATTTGGCGACGAAGATGAAAAATTCGGTGAAAATATTTATTTAATTTTCTTGTTGTGATTATAATGTCGAATATTTCGCAATACATACCGGGTTCGGAATCATTCAGTAATTATTTAGATCGATTAAACGCGCAGTTGACCGTTCTAAAAGTTAAGGATGCTGATAAAAAGTCCTATTTAATCGCATACATTGGTTCGGAAGCATATAGTCAATTAAAAGATGTTTGTTTGCCGGAGGAACCACAATTAAAGTCATACGACGAGTTAGTGTCCAAATTGGAAGAAATATATTCACCAGTATATTTCACCAATTCTGGTGGAAAACCGTGGTCTGGGAAGTCGTCAAAACCTGGTCAAAAAAGTGGTCAGTCAATTCAGCATGGCAGTCAAAGTTCACGAAGTCTTAAGTTTGGTCAATGCTATGGATGTGGAAGGAAGCACGATGTCCGTACGTGTCCAGCCAGAGAGTGGGAATGTTTTTCATGTAAATTAAAAGGTCATACGTCGAAAATGTGTAAGACAAAAATTAAAAATAATTTAGAGTCTATTGATTTAGTAAATAATGTGTCTCAGAATAGTGGGGGAAATCCACTTGTGATTAAAATCAAAGTTAATAATACGCTTATTCCGTTTGAGGTAGATAGTGGAGCGTCGGTTTCAGTTATGCTGATTAAATATTTTAATATATATTTTAATAATTCATGTAAATTAGAAAAAAAAACATATTCAATTAAGTTCTGTAAATTGTGAACCAGTCAAGGTTTTAGGTCAAACACTTGTAAATGTCGAGATGTCAAATCAAAAAAATATTAAACTATATTTAATTATAACGGAAAACTCTGTAAAAAAAGTTTTAGTAGGTCGATCTTGGTTAGATAAGTTGTATTCGAACTGGAGATCGAATATGTGTCTAAATTGTATAAGTAGTAATGTAGATTGCAAAATCGGGAAAAATATTATGAATTCTGTAAATAATAATAATTGTGTTTTAAGTGAAATAGATGTAATTAAAAATATTAAACTCAAGTTTCCCGGGGTGGTTAAATTAAATGATAAACCAGCTGATTATATAAAAGACCATGAGGTCAATTTATCCTTAAAAGAAAATAGCGTACCAGTTTTCCATAGAGCATATCAAGTACCATATGCACTAAAGTCTGCTGTAGAAATTGAGTTAAATAGATTAGAAGTTGAAGGAGTTATAAGTAAGGTTTCAATTAGTGACTGGGCATCGCCTATTGTAGAAGTACCAAAAAAAAAAATAATAAAATTAGAATATGTGTAGATTTAAAAACTACCTTAAATCCAAAATTACAAATTGAACAACACCCATTACCAAGAGTCGATGATGTGTTTAATGAGTTATCCGGGGGAAGTGTGTTCACTGTTTTGGATTTAGCAGAAGCGTATTTACAATTACAGGTTGCACCTGAAAGTCGTAAGTTTCTTACAATTAATACTCATAAAGGGTTGTACTGTTTTAATCGTTTATGTTATGGGGTAGCGTCAGCGCCAAGTATATTTCAGTCAGTCATGGAAAATATTCTACGAGGTGTTTCTAGAGTACAAGTATATTTAGAAGACATAATAATCTGGGGCTCGTCAAGGTCAGAGTGTGAAGAAAATGTTAATGCGGTGTTAGAACGTTTAAATGAGTATATAGTTAAAGTAAATTTTGAGAAATGTCAGTTTTATTGTTCAAGTGTACAATTTCTAGGTCATAAAATAGATTGTCAAGGCGTACATCCCGATGGAAATAAAATGAATGCGATAAGAAACGCACCGTGCCCTAATGATGTAGTACAATTAAAATCATTTCTCGGTCTCATAAACTATTATCAACGTTTTATTCCAATGTCGTCATCTATATTAGCTCCCTTGTACAATTTAACAAAAAATAAAATACCTTGGAATTGGTCTGACGAATGTCGATCAGCGTTTGAAAATATAAAATAGGTATTAATAAAAAGTCAATTATTAGCCACGTATAATCCAGATTTACCTCTAGTAGTTACGTGTGACAGTTCTAGCTATGGTGTCAGTGCAGTTCTTAGTTATTTGATAGATGGGGAGGAGAAGCCAATTTTATTCGCGTCTTTCCTTATTCGCAGAAAAAAATTATGCACAAATTGAGCGTGAAGGGTTAGCAATAATCTTCGCAGTAAAAAAATTCCATAAATATTTGTTTGCACGCAAATTTATTTTAGTAACTGATCATTTGCCGTTAAAATCAATTTTTAATCCGTCAAAGAATATACCTGTTGTAGCTTCATCTAGATTACAAAGATGGGCAGTTATATTGTCTAGTTATCAGTACGAGATTCAACATAGGAAGGGGGTAGACATAAGTAACGCAGACGCGTTATCAAGATTACCTCAAAGTAGTAATACTGGGGAAAATGCTTGTTCAATTTTATTATTAGAAAATTTACCTTTAACGTATAAGGAAGTGAGCAAAAAAACGAGTACAGACGAAGTATTAAAAGAAATAAGTCAGTATACGAAAGAAGGTTGGCCGGGGGTAAAGTCGTTAAAATCAGAGTGCCAACAATATTATAAAAGACGGGAAGAATTATCGTTAGTAAATGACTGTTTGATATTAGGTAATCGCGTAGTAATTCCAAAGTCATTAAGAGAAGACGTATTAATGTTATTACATAAAAACCATCCGGGTATTGTTCGTTCGAAAATGCTCGCAAGGTCGTATGTATGGTGGCCTAATATCGATATTGATATAGATAAGTTTATTAAGACGTGTACGGAATGTCAATGTAATCAAAACGATAAGAATGTTAGTGAGAAAGTGTATATTCCGTGGGAAAATTCATCAGATTCTTGGAAAAGAATACACATCGATTTTCTAGAAATAAATCAAGTTAAATTATTAATCATTGTTGACAGTTTTAGCAAATTGATTGAGTGTTTTGCAATGGGAAGTACAACAGCTTCAAAAGTAATCGAAGTTTTAGAAAACTGTTTTTGTCGTTTTGGTTCCCCAGAGATAATGGTAACCGATAATGGTCCACCTTTTGGCGCAAATGAATTTAAAGCATTTTGTGAGAAAAATTGTGTAAAACTAGTACATTCGCCGCCATACAATCCAGAGTCTAATGGGTTGGCAGAGCGAGGGGTGCAAACGATAAAAAAATTATTAATAAAGAGTTTGTGTGTAGAGAGAGATGTAAAAAGAATACAATCAAAAATTAATAATATTTTAGTATCATATCGTAACACACCAACATTGGTGTTACGATAACAAGCACAGGTTGTAGTCCGTCAGATTTAATATATAATTTTAAACCAAAAAATCATTTGTCTATATTAAAACCACCAAATATTGTAGAAAAGAATAAAAATATTAATGTTACTAAGTACGAAATAAATGATAAAGTTCTTGTTCGAAATAATTCAATAGGGCAGAAATGGTTAAATGGACGTATAATGAAAATGTTGGGAACATGCAGTTATTTAGTCCGGGTTGGTGATAAAATCAGATTAATGCATGTAAACAAACTAAAAAATAGTTATTTAAATGATGAGGTACATCCAAGGGAACTTGAATAATAATAAAAAAATATATTGTTTTATTTATTTAAATTTTTAAGTTATATATATTATGTATTGTGTAAAATTGTAAATGATTATTATTTTCTAAATTGTATGAATTTTGTATAAGTTAATTTATTGTACTAAAATTATATAGAAGGGAAAGATGTTATGTATGTACATTTTACGGTGTGTCCGATACTCCGATATGTTATCTGTAACGATAAATATATATATATATAACATTATGTGATTATTATGTGTGTCCGCCGTCGTGCGTAATGATAAATAAAGCAGTCGTACTTTGTCAATGCTCGTGTGTGTACCTACGTCCGTCATGTATAATATACGTAACAATTATAAAATATTATTAACCATTAAAAATGCTTTAATTGTTATTGTTGATTATAATTGACAACAATTAAAAATAGTATTAAGATTATGTATACAAATAATAGTTCAAGTATAATACTATTTTTTACTAATAAAATAATAAAAAAGTTATATATTTAAATCATAATATGTCGTCTACATTGGAATACTTAACTCTCGTAAACTATAGGTACAAAATACATATGATGTAATAAATAATAATGTTATTTTACGTTAAACTTTTTTCTTAAATTTAAATAAGAACAAAATAGTACCTATAGTTTTATGGTATTATGGTTGTATCAATTAGTTTAGCACAGGTAAATTGCTTATTAATTATTAAAATTATTCTTACCTACATATTCCAAAAAAGATTTGTAATATTATTATTATTTATTTAAAATATGTTTTTGATTATTTTATTCAAGAAAGAGATGAAGTTTACGAAAGTTCATGGTTTGCTTTCAAAAGTTTGGCCTTTATTATGGATAAAGATAATCCTCGACCTACACTCAACACTGTAAGTAAAAACTAAAAGATGATATTATTTCAATTTTTAACTTGTAAACATTATTTTCAAACCAATTTAGTACATGATCATTATTCATTAGTTGAAGTCTATTTTATATAATAATAATTTAAAAAAATAATAATCAATAATAACAAAAAATATTTATGCATAATCGCCTTGCCATGGAACTTTTCCTTCATTTATAAAATAATCTGCGATTTCATCTCGAAGTTCTTTCACATCTAACACTGATCTACGAGGCAAGTTCCGGATTGATAACAAAGATGTTAAATTATTATTTTCTGATCTCCAATTTCCTTCAATGATCTCTCCGTCAACCTCTCTGTCAAACGAGCCATTCGGTGTATAAATGTTTACGGAGCTTGTACTTTTTCGTAAGAAATTATGAAGATGTGCTACAGCCATTACAACGACCTCTGCTTTTTCGGGTTCCAATAGCATAGGTTTCAGTAAAACGCGAAATACTGATGATGAAATCCCGAAAACATTTTCCACGACACGCCGAGCCCTGCATAGACGGTAGTTAAAATGTCGTTTAACCGAACCTTTGTTATGTAAACCAGAATAAACTTTCATTATGTGTTCATTGAGTGGAAACGCCTCATCGCCAATCATAAAATAAGGGACTGATTTTTCTCTTCCTGGTAATGGTATTGGGTCCGGTAGATTCAACGACGAATTTTCAATTTTTTCATATAATTCGCAATTTTTTAATACTCCACCATCAGAAATTCTGCCTTGACATCCGGCATTTACGTACATAAAATTGTAATTGGAATCAACTAATGCAAATAAAACAATACTAAAAGCGCCCTTGTAATTGTAAAATTCGCTTCCACTGTTAAATGGAGCTTGTAGGACTACATGTTTACCGTCCATTGCGCCTATGCAGTGAGGGAAGTTCCAACGACTTTCGAATCCTTCCGAAATGGCTAGCCAGCCTTCAGATGTAGTAGGAATCTAAAATTTTAAATAATAATCTACTGTAGCAAATAGAAAACTACATAGCAAATAATATACATACTAAAATATAAAATAATAATTTTTAAGTATTGTTACACACTTACACCATTAACATCTTCACCATATTATAATACTATTTTGATATCATATAAAATTATTGTATTAAGCGTAAACTTTTAGATTCTGAGCGGAGCGATGAATGTATTGATTTTACGATGTTGTGTGTTTTATTTTTTTTTTTTGTGCCTGTGTACACGATAAGTTGTCAAAATAATGCTACGATTTTCAACTTCAGTAGCTTTTCCTGTTGGAAAGTGAATCTAGTTGGTGCATTAGGGAGGTGATTTTTTGAAATTCCCAATAGTTTTCAAAAGCACCGGGAAAAACCAAAAAAAAATTAAGGAAAAGCGGGAATTTTTACGTAAAATCAATTTTTGAAAAATTGAAAAATTTGAAAAATTGATTTAGATATTGGTGTAACTCTAAAAAAAATTATCGTAAAAAAATAAAATTTTCATTGAATGTTTAAACATGCTTTTTATATACTTGATAACATTTTCAAAATATTTCAACAATTGTTAGCAGTTGGAAAACATTAAAAATATATAGGCACGTTTTATTAAAATAATGATTTAAAGTTAAAATTTTGCCAAAATGTATTTAATTGAAAATTTACAAATTCTTCAGTTGTTAAAAGTTTAAAAGTTAATAAAACGTTTAAATTTTATAGCTAAGGATTGAAAATTTAAAACAAGGTTCTACATAAGTAGTTAATTCTACTGCAAAAAAAAGATAAAAACTATTTAAACACAGTTTTTTATAGTTATTTTAATACAAATTTGGATGAAATTATCAATTAAATAACCAAAAATAACAATTTTAGCCATATTACTGTAATTTAAAAATATTATTTGTGGGTACTTTAAATTGTATATACCTACTATGAATAACTGAGTGAGTTGGGTTATTGCCTTATTTTGTAAATGAATCTAATTAGATTAATTTGGAATTTATTTTATTGGTAGATATCTACATTTTAATATAATTAATATAGTATAACAGTATAAGAGTATAATATATCCCAGACTGACAAACCGTCTCAACTCAGAATCGTGTTTTGTATACAATGATATTATATCGTTGAATTCAAATTTAATACCATCCATTACAGTCACCCACTTGTACAGCAGAGGCACATTTACTATTTACCTGCTTTTTTAAAATGTAATTATTATTATTTATTTATTTATTTATTTAACGCCAAACGGCAATTTATAGATACATTGTACAATTAGTAGATTAACATGAAGTGATAATAATGAAATAAAATACATGGAAAATATAGTTATAAATATAGACTTAAGTTTAAACTAATACTAAACAGCGTTCAGCTAAAAAGAGTACATGTTAAGGTAAAATAAAACTAAAGACAAAAACATTCAGTAGAGATAAACAATAATATAGTCAGCTGCAGATCAGGAGCTATTAAGTAGGCGGAGCATTCTGTCTAATGGATTATTAAAGGAGTAATTAGTACGGCGAGAGGAGACAAGGTATAAAGAGTGATTTCTAGTGAAATGCATAGGAACACGGAAAGAGATGGAGGACAGATGAATGAGAGGTCAGCATCGACACGACGAGATGCGAGAGTAGGGATATTTAAGGAAGTTCTAACTGATAGGTAATCATGGGGTGGGTGATCAATATTGAGTATAAAAGCGGCGTAGGAAAGGAAGCGATTTTGGACACGCTCTAAACGTAATTGGTCCTTGGCTAGATACGGGTACCATACAACTGAGCCATATTCTAAGACAGAGCGGACAAGGGAAAAATAGAAGAAGCGAATACAAGTAGCGGACGTGAAAAGGCTAGTGTTGCGCTTTAAGAACCCCAGAATTTTTAACGCTCTACCAACAGTAACATCAATATGGTGTTCAAAGGAAAGAGAAGGAGTTAGATAGAACCCAAGATCTTTGACAGTGGGTACACGCTTGAGAGTAGAGCCATTAAGGGAATAAGGATGGATTATGTAAGTACGTTTCCTATAATTTAATCATTTTTTTTTCAATATATTGAATTAATATTTTTAAGGAAGTATTTATTCATATTTTATAATTCAAAAATATGATATTATTGTGTACGAAAAACGTTTCTGATCTTAGACGGTCTGTCAGCCTATATTTACAAAGTATATTAATATTATTTCTAAGTAATATTTTGCTATTAATAGTACAGTACCTATATATATTATAGATTTGTTGGTTACTGTATTAAGTATTAACTACTATGAGAAAGCTCGTTTTGAATTTTAAATTCTTAGCTATTAGCTATATTTATACAAATTAAATTTTTTATTTTATTTTCATGAATTTTCAATAATACTCAAATTTTTAAATTTTAACCTCATAAAAGTGTGAACTAGATCCTAATTGCTACCTGAAACAGTGAAACCACCCGTACAGTTAAAAATCGAACCATTTTTTGCACTACTTTTCAGATTAGAAAATTTAGATTACAACAATTAGATGAGACATTTGAGACATTATACATGCATGAATTTCACATATTAATAAATGCATCAAAGATAAACACACTGTTTAAAAAAAAATTGATAAGTTTTTAAATATTTTATTTCTTTATGGCGTACCTATATTTCAGATCATTGAAGAACAAATAACCACTGCAGACGAAATTCTTGGAGATGATTTGTTGCGCACCAATGTATCTGAAAGTCTTAATGACACTTCTATCACCACAAACACATCGGATCATACACCATCTCGTTCAAAAAAAAAAAAAAAATCGAACGCTGACATGGACGCTGATTTAATGCTGGATCAAGCGTTTTCAATATTAACTGCTGTGGCAAAACCAATTGAAGAAAGTGAAAGCAGCACATACTCAAAATATATCGAACAAAAATTAAATAGTTACACTCCTCGGACGAGAGATGCTGTCCAGCACGAATTCAGTAATATTATATTTAAAGCTAGCCAAGGGTTTTATGAATACAATAATTATCCAACTGTTCCGACTTATAATATGAATGATGTATTATATCCTCCTCATTCATCACAATTATTAGCATACGGACCCAATACATTTCCATCTAACTATAATAATTCTAGTGCTTCGCCTTCTACGTCTTACACTAACCAGAGTCTTTCTCCTTCCACTTACGATCAAAGTCCTCCACCTTCCACTTCCGATCCTACCCCTTCGCCTTCTATTTACAATTCAATTCCTTCGCCTTCCACTTACAACCCTAAACTTTAACTTACTGATTATGATCTTCGTAAAGTTAATATTAACATTTAACAAATGTTTAATTAAATTTATTCAATATTATTATTATTATTTTTTTTTATGAAGGATACGTTTTAGTGTCCAGGCTGAATTATTTAACATAAGTACCTAATAGTACTTATTCTATGATATAAACATTATTATTTTATTATTTTTTTTACAAATAATAGTTAAGTAAATGAAAAAAAAAAAAGTTTATATAATTATGATTTATGATCAATATTATTATTATTATTAGCAATGTCTATGGTTAAACAGAACATTTTTTTTATTTATATTATATTTTATAACATGTTTTATATTATTTTAAGAGGTGTTAAAATTAAAATAAAAGTATATATTATCATATTATAAAATTTGTACCTGTACATTTTCTTTTAATTCTTCTACAATTGCTTGACATACTTCTGGAATAATTTGTCCAATAATTTGTTTTGAAATTTTAAAAAGGTACTGTAAACTTTGGTATGATTCACCAGTTGCCAAAAACCGTAATGTGACGGCCAACCTCTCCTGTACTGGAATTGCTTTTCGAAAATTAGTGTCTCGTTTTGAAATTTTTGGTCCGATCAAATTAATTAAGTATTCAAAATCAGTAGAAGACATCCTTACAAAATTTCTGAACTGCCCACTCATTTCCTGTCGCCGAAGAGTATTTAATAAATCTGACCCACTAAAAATGTCCCTTGAATTATACAAATTAGTTTGCCACCATCTTCTTTCACTTTTTTTCTGTTTTTTTTATTTTTTAAAATTCTATGAATTAGAATAAAAGATGCACTGGCTAATTGTAAATTAGGCATTATTTCACACGTTGTTACACCAGGACAAATAGTGAAAAACTGATGGATAGACCGGCGAACAGCCGATACACTGTAGCGCTCGACTCTAAACGTACACACGGTCGTTGTAACATTGTAACAGTCAAGCGAGCACGAATTCTGTTACATTACAGCGTTACATTACACCTAAATGCTCCAGTGTGTACCCGCCTTAATGTAACATTCCTTTGATGTTCGTCAAAATACCGACACTCGGATGGATCGACGGCGTCGCGAGCCGAGCGCGCACGAATGATACAGTAACACCGTACATGCTTGAGCATTACAGTTACATTACAGCGTTACATTACACCTAAATGCTCCAGTGTGTACCCGCCTTTACATGTTACAAGTTCGCCGTTTTGTTACGCTAGTGTGTACGCACATTAAGTCTTCTTCAAATGGTCCAAAAAAACATGATTAACTCCTTTATTTGCAGAGATATTTGATAAATTATTCTTATTAGTCGGTCCAATAATTAATTGCTTTAATTAAAAAATTTCGTCCCGCATTAATTCAATTTAAGTGCTCAATTTTGATTTTGATATAACTTTATACACTTCCTTTGAATTTAATTCTAAAATAAACAAATATATTATTCATTATACAACAATATAATAAATACAAATTATGATTTTACATCACACAATTTATTTGAACTGCTGACTTATAAAAATAGTATACTGATTATTTTTATTTTTTATACATAATTGGTTCCCTATTTGATGACGTTTATTGTGTAGACTTACTATATTTACATAAATAATATGATGAATGAAATACAACATAATATATAATACAAAATATGATATACTGAATTAGTATAATTATATATCTTATATTGTATAAGTTATTGCCAAAATCATACTAATCATCTAAGTACCTAACTTTATTTCCTACTGCTCCTTTGGTATCAATTTTATTGGTAGAAATGATTGGTGTTGTATAATTCTTGTAGGTGTCATCTAATATTTAATAAATACATTTAAGATTATTTTATGACTTAAATAATTTATACTACCTACATGCCATAATTTTTTTTAAGCTCTTGAGCTTTTGTAGGTGGCAGAATAATATTAGTATCTTCAAATAACTGCACTCCTACCATCGGAGAATTATCCACCCAACATGATGAAACTAGATGAATTCCATCATCAAATTCAACTACAGAGAACTCTATTATTGAATAACTATAGTACAATAAAAGCATATTATCTAATATTAAGCAAGGTTCTATTATTTGCTGATGACATTACAATTTTATGTAAAATAGACTTTCCGTCGGACTGACTATTATTGATGCCTTCTTCGTTTGGACCCAGTGCTTTAACTTCTTACTCAACATAGACAACTCAATGATTTTCTCTCTGGGAAACGTCCCATACTTCACTCATATTCTCTTGGGAGATCCTCACTTCAAACATTTTCCATATAAATTTTGAAACTGATATATAATTTTTTTTAGAAGTGAATGAGAATATTTGATAAATTGTTCAGATTTTGCCAATATAGGATTAATTAAAATTGATATAGCTACATGTAATACAATAAAGTTATTATATATTTCTTGTTTTAAAATCGATTTCAAAACCACTGGACCAGTATACAAAAGGAATTGTCGGTACTCTGTGTAGTGATCCCTCACTAACGCTTATATTTTGAGTTTGGCGACGTTGATGATTGAGTAGGAGAAAAGGTTGCAGAGTTACAAGTTACAACGTTATAATTTAAGTAATTTATTTTAAAGTTAATAATAATATAATGGTATTACATTTGAATATAGAAATTTGAGGACAGAGCGATAAGCGTCTACCCGAGAGATTAGTGGTTAATACTAAGTACTTACAACTATGTATGATCCTGCAAAAGTTGTACTTCGCATGCTGGTCTACTTGTACAGGGGTATAAAGGATTACATTCAGGACATAAAAGGAAGTCTCTAGCGTGCTTACAATGTGTATAGTAAAATTCATCATACATGGCATAGTGTTCTTTAGTTTTACTTATAGCTAGATACTTATTACTAGGTTTAACATAGAGACAATCATTTCCAGTACAAACTGGTACAGGTATTAAGTTATATAAAATAAAATCATTTTGATAGATTAACGGTAAAGTTAGTATAAAAACTAGGTTGTCATTAACATAGTATATAGCTAGGTCTGAGAGCTTTACCAATTCATAGATATTTTGTATATCTAGATCAGTGGGTAAGTCGGTGCCCCCAGGTAATGATACTTTAATGTCTTTTATGTGTTCTAGAAGGTCCCGTGGAGATATTAAGCTGGTATGGATAATTCCTAATTTCGCTTGTTGTATTATTTCTAATAAAGTATTGGTTTCTACTATATGCTTCATTATTAATACATTTGTAATTAGAAAATGTTTCGTTACATAATTTTTTGTTTGTTGGTCCCTAGATACGTTACTATTTTCGTTTATTAAAAAGGTCATATTGTAGTTTTCGTGTTCATCAAATTTGTTTTGTATCTTAACTATTTTTATTTGTTCTTTAACTAATTTAGTTTGCGGCGCGTTATGCGTTTGTTCTATATTGAAATTAAATTTTCTAATGCATTCCAGATTACATATTCCGTATATTAATCTGGCTGCTTTTGTTAACATTCCTAATGTACTTCTTTTAGATACTGTGTGTTCTATAGAGTATAATACTAGTTCCTTCTTTTTTCGTAAATCGTTTACTATACTACTAGCTGTTTGCATTAAATTGTTACAATTGGTATCAACATTGTTTTTGATACTTTCACATATTATTTCGGTTTTGTTCATAACATCGTCAATATAAATAAATCTTTCTTTGTATTTAGCAAAATTAATATACGCGGTTAAGTCCCATTGAGATGTGATAAGTTTCAATGGTCCCCGATTTTCGTGGTCTCAGAACAGTTCTTCCAAAATCTAATATTCCTGATAATATCATGGAAGAACATTGTTGCCAACATAATTTATTAATGGCCCTAGACCATATTAACGGTATTGCCAACATGTTTTAAAAATATTAATTAATACTGCATAATGTACTTATTATTGCATTATTTTAATTTATTATAACGATATTGTTTAATATAAGTTATAACCTACAAATTAGAATATCTGTCAGTAAATAGAGACACATGACTTTTACCAAGTTGCTAATTTTCTATCCTTAATCCTTATGAAGAAGCTAGCTGTAAGTAAAGTTGTAAGTATATATTGTTTCCTTTTGTTCTAAGTAGTTAGTTGTTTGTCAAATAATTCGTCAAAAAATAATAATTGTTGGTTGTTAGTCAAATAGTTGTCAAAAAATATGAATTGTTTAAAAATAGTAATTGTTGGTCGTTTGTCAATTAAACCGAAAAAAAATATTAATTTTAAAAAATAATGTAAAATAAATAATAAAAATGTAAAAAAATATAGGATAGAGGCTATGGTGATGGAGGTGGACCGATTTGGCGTCTTAAGTAATCAGCATTGGCTTGACCCATGCTTCTAAGACATCTCAATACGTCATTATCTTCATTGAGCTGTTCAATTGCTCGTCTTATTAGCGTTGTGTTTACAGCACGTTCCCCTCTGGAAGTTTGATCCCGGATCTAAACAGGAAATATAATGATTATATGAATAATATATTCATTATAATGTAATTTAGTTGTTTTCATCTCAATGATTGTCCTAACAGCATACCTACCGTAAGATTTTTTCTGACTTGAAACATCTCCACATAATACTGGTTTTCCAAAATTCTCAGTTTCTCTATACAGCGGAAAATAAATTAGCAATAACAATACAATATAATTTGCCAAAGAAATTATGCCTACAAAGTAATTAGTATATAATTTGATGTTGAAAAAAAATGTTCATAAATATATAAAAAAATAATGTATAGATTATTACGTATAAGTCCCAGATGTTGGGATGCATCCTAAAAAACCTGAGCAATTGTTTGTGGAATGATTCCAAATAATTATTTGTTCTTATTTCGCTGGCAAATACAGTTATTAATTCAGGTCCAACTTGAACCAACCAAAAGTTTTGTACGTATCTGTTAATCAAAACATGTCAATTATTATTATTTTTATTTTTATTATTTCACATAGATATGATAAGCTGCTAAGTGTTCAATAAATATATATATATTACATACCCGATTAAAAATGTTTCCATGCGTTGGTAAACTTCAATATTTTGATGTGCAAAATCTAAAATTGCCCTAAAACCATAATTTACACAAAAATTTGGGCAACTTTCATTTCCTCTGTTGGCTGGTAAATGAGGCAATGCTAAGACCTAAATTACAAACTTATATTTCATATACAATTTATTTTATTTATATAGGTACTATAAGTAGTTCATTACCATTCGCAATACACGGGCAGCTACAGGATTGGTTTTAATGAGGTCTAATACCAGATTATACTTGCGCCGACAATATCTCACAATTGACTAAAAGAAAAGTAATTATAATTTTTTTACAAAACATAAATTATTGTTTTACAAATTGTGTACAGCTTATGTAGCATAAAATAAATAATATTAAAATGCTTAACCTATTACCTGGCAGAAATGGAACCAACAACATTGTAGTCTACTCTCTGGAAACACCTCTTGTACAGCATTCATCAGCCCACGCTCATAATCAGTGATGATTGTAAGACCATCATAGTCCAATGGTAACATATTTCTTACTCGAAAGAAACTGATATATGCTTGTTCTGTAGCCATGGACAAGAGTGCATATACAATTAGAAATGACTAGTAAGCATTATCAAAATGTTATTTACCTAATTATTATGTTTCAGTAATATACCAAAATAAACTTACAACATTTTTGTATACAATTTGAAAGGTAATTAAAGAACCTCTACGGAACTGTTTTGGTGAACTCGGAGTGGTTTTAAAGGTTCCGTCACAACCTGCATATGTTACAGCGCGTAACTCTTCGCGAAACATAGCTATCATATCCAAATATGCAAATATTACACCTATTGTAATACCGTCAACAGTTAATGCCTGCCGAAAAAACTCTGACGGTGGTTCACGCAGAGTGGTTCTATAGGTGATATGTTCTGGCATGTTTAAGAGATGTATTAATGCTGGAATTGTCTCTGGTATTTTCGGGCGTCTACAGCTTTTCATTCTCTTGCATCTATGTTGAGCCTGTTGAAATGTATAGCCAAGGCTTCCAGCAGGATGATTGGAATGTTTTATGTTTATTAAATTATTATAATAATTAGTATTTAGTTACTATAAAATGTTCTTTACCTAACAATTTCTTCATTGTATATGTGCCGGATAGGCATAGACATAGCACCTAATGTTGTAGCTCTCCTCCCGATAGCTCTTCTCAAGTATGGCATATCAAGGTCTCCTTCGACAGCTCCATGGTTGTGTCCTCCAGGTTGAAGCCGCATACGATATTCTGGATCATGAATATTTTCAATGATGGCTGTAGCTGGACAGTATTCATTCACTTTTTATTACTTTTTATTCCTTATTGAAAAATAAAATAATTATTATTATACATTATATTTGAATATTGTAAGTCAGTTGAATACTAACATTTTATTTCGTAGAACACTTTTTTTGTAATATTTATATTGAAAATTGTCATTATAAATATTAGATTTATCATGTACACCTGGTATACATGTGTAGGTCCGATTAAGTTGCATATTTTCTAAAATTAAATTTTTTTTTCCTTGAATAATATTTTTAACATGATTATTTTTAATAAATATTGATTACCGGCATCATAGTTACTACTTGGCTCTATATTTTCATTTTCGTCATCACTATCTTCATTTATAACTAAAAAATATATGGAATAATTATTATAATGGAATTTAAATAAGCAATAAAATTAATAAATTATATATTACTTACCATCGTAGTCACTTTCTATATCAGAATTATCCTCAACTAAAGAAATGTAAAAGAAACGTACTTATAGCTTACAATAATATTTTGTATACATTATAATTACAATTTAAATTATCTAAAAATATATGTTCAATATGTTTTTAATATTCTTAACAAACGTGCATAATATCACTTATTGACTTACTTTTTAAAACTCCAAATTAATAATAGGCTGTAGGCTGTATAAAAGGCTGGGCAATTTATCTTATTTTTTTAACTTGTTAAACCAAGGTAATATAGAAAAATGTAAGTTAAGGTTAAAGTTAAATTTTAAATAGTAAATTTTAAATTTTTTATTTTTCAAGCAATGACTAATAATACTTTAGTACAAGCAGCTACAAAGATTGTAGAATTTTATATTTTATTTGTATTCTGCAAGTTTCCTGTATATTTTGATAATCTCTCACTTCAAATTATGGCAGATTTTAATCAAGGTTCATATTATATAAATTAATAATAAATTTCAGTTTATTCTATTTTTCTGTTAAATATTACAATTATAACAAATAACAGTAATTTAATAGAGTTCTCTAATGTGTATTAAAAATAAATTGCTGCAAGTAGGTATTTATATACTTAAATAAATTTACTTCGTAACATGATAAAAAATTAATGCCCAGCCTTGAGTGTATTGTGAACCATTATGAAACTTCATAATTTTTACTTAAAAAAGTACTTACTTGGAGCATGATAATTATGGTCAATTAAATGGTTCTCAATTGTGATTTGACCTTCCAAATATACATAATTATGTTCACTCAAGACATCAATTTGCTCCATAGTTAATATTTGTTAAATTAAAACAATAAAAATGAGAAGTAAAATAATTACTAGCTTTTGTAAAGAAAGCTCAAAAGACACTTTGACACTATATGCATTGAATCTTCAATAGGTGTAGGTACAATTTTAATTTAATTGGGGAAAAAATGTTTTTTGTTGTTCGGCTTATAAATAGCATAAAATAATATATTATATTGAATTAGGATCATGGTACTCATCATAATTTATAAAATAATACTTACCATTAATATAATTTTATATTTTTTTTTCAATAAATTAAATTATTTTTATTTTTAATTAATACATTTTTTACTAAGAATTATTTCATAACATTTATTAACTAACCGGAGTACCTACGATTTTTAGTAATCATTGGTGATATTTTAAGGGACTTCCTAAAAGAAAATCTTTGGGAACCTATATTATGGTACATAGTTTATTAACGAATTTAAAATTATTTATATTATTAGCTTTAATGGATAATTATGAAAATATAATTTATTTTATATTAATATTTAAATTGTAAAATAAATATATTTGAATATATAATATATCAGTGGTTATTGTTAGGTTGGTGTCACCCTTGAAGCGGGTTGGGTGGGATTTTTACTTTTCTAAGTTGGCAACAATGAATTCGAAAATTCCGCTATCATTAAATATGACTTTGGAAGATGTGTACCCATCTCGATTTTTGTAGTATAGACCGGAATGTTGTGTTAATTGTTCGTCAGTGTATCGAAATCTTCCCGACGTGAATGGTATAGTTAGTAGTATAAGTCTGAAAACCGTTTCAGCTTATTAGTCAAGGTAATTTTATGTAGGTAAATGTATTAGATTTAAAATTAACCTATTTCTATATATATAAGTGCAAATTAAAATAATAATATGAATAATCTTATTCCCAAATCCCAAATAGAAAAAATGCATAATTACTATAATAAAAAAACTATAATTGTGAAATAATAAAATAATAATATTCCGTCACCCTATATAATGTTTACTTTTTAAGTAACAATAATAATGTAATAATAATAAATTTGTACTTTAGCATCCTCTTGTGTTTTTGATTAAATCGTGGAATTCTAATTGTAATTTACGGAATAAACAACGGGTCCATAGAACGTCTGTTCTAGGATTGTGGGCTTCGGAAAACCCGTGGGTTTTTTTTACATAAGAGCTCATGAGCTTCGCTTAGTTTTAAAGCGCGTCCTTCGAATTTCGTAACTAATGGTTCATAATGACCACATACGGCGCCAGATATTAAGATTAAATTTTCTTTTCCTAATTGTGTGAATTCAAAATCTACGACCGCGAACTCAGGTGGTTCACTAAAAACAAAACATATATATACATATGTATTGGACATCATATATATACGATAGATATATATATATCTACATATGTCAAAATGAAGACGTTATTATAAAATACGTATTCATTCGAAGAAAAGTTAATAGAAAAATCGAATAGAATTAAATAGTTATCATAGTTATAAAAGAAAATGGCTATTGAAATGCTAATAAAGTACATACTCTTTTTTTTTTAAATTTAAATTTAAAGTCGCATATAATCAAGTATATCTACTGGGTGTTCAGTGGTTTCCAAAAATTCCCTTAGATATGAACAAAGTGGTTTGCGTAGAGGTCTTAATGTTTTTGTTAAGTCGTGTGAGAAGTGATTAATTGTACGAGTGAGTTCCAACAGCTCCACTGGCGTATACGGTTGAAGTAAATTTTTATTCTCCGTGTCTATATGGTTAAGCATACACCGCGGAATTTCGTCGGGATATAAGGCCGTGTGGCAGTGCTGTTGTACTATTAACGTTGTACGGAACGTGGTCATAAAGTTTCTTCGTTTGTCCCTAAAATAATAATAAAAGAATTTGGTAGGAAAAATTTATAATAAGTAGATAAGTTAAGAAAAATGAATTTGTAATAATTTATTTGGTATCGTCATCGTCGTAATAACGTTTTACGTTATTTTTATGTATACGATACTCGCGATTTCCTTTTTTAATCGTAATATTTTCATTGTCGTGTACTAAGAGTACCTCAAAAGGTCCTTGCCAATTTAAGCTAAGTGCATTTTTCTTATTGTGCTCTTTGATAAGAACTTTGTCACCTACATGTAAATCAATGACATTTAGGGTCCTATCGTAATAATTTTTGTTTGCCTTTTTTTTCTTTATTAAGTTATCTCCATCACGCAAAGAGTCACTAGGGGGTGACTTCTTAATCACGCTTATCATGTTTTGTTTGTCACTTGTCACTTATACTTATTATGCTATAAAGTATAGATTGTATAATTATTATAAAAATAAAAAAAAAAAGTTATCTCGAGCGATTTTGTGTGCCTCTTGCATAATTTGTTTAAGATCGAATAAATAATCGTCGTAATTATATTGTGGCTCGGGATTCTTATTGAACGCTGATGGAATATTTGGTTTCCTTCCGAATACTAGTTCGTAAGGCGTAAAATCAGTAGAAGTATGTACTGTTGTACTATAACAAAAAGTAGCGTAACACAATAATCTATCCCAATTACTGTCTTTGTCTACGAAGCTACGTAAATAAGTTTTTAATGTTTTATGATGTTACATGCGGCCCTTCAGGGATCCAAAAGCTTGTTGCACTTTTACAATAAAGTGTAGTCAATTTAAATATAAATCAATTGTAATTTATTAAAACCAATAATAATTAATATAGTCGTGGTGAATTGCAGCGTCGTGAGTTGACTCGTTGTAGTAGTCGATAATCTCCATGCAAGTTGTGTGTAATGGCTGGTGGCTAAGCGGCTCGCTCGGTCTTGGCGGCCCTGGTACATCTAGTTAGGCTGTCTCGCTGTCCCCTATATATATGGTGGCGGCATCCTTTGAAGTGAGCGGCGCGTGTACAGTCGTCCTTGATATCGACCTCACGACTATGAAAGTGGTATTCTTAGTCGAAAACACTTTTGGGTGTGGTCGCATTCCTGGTTGTTATTATGAGCAAATACATGATATTGCGTAATCCCATTACACCTCCCTACCAAAAAAAAAGATTGTTAACCTTTAAGGGTTAAGAATCTTTAACATCGTTAATTAACAGTTTACAATGGCTGAATTACATTGTTTACATTGACTTTTAAATTTGTATACAGTTAACAATTTGATTACAGTATTACATTTGATTACAATAATGTGAACATTTTACAATTTTTTAATGTCATCATTATTATTATATTGTTTTTCATATTACAATTTTAATTGTGGTTAGTAAAATAAATTAATACATGATTTAATTAAACAAATAGTGTTAATAAGAATGATTAATAATCTTTAATAAAATAATATATGTACCTGAAATTATAACATCATAAACGTTACGTAAGTATAAAATTCAAGTATTTCCCCTTTTATATAATAATAATATTTATCTTCCACCTATATACTTATCTTATGTGAATAATTGTTAGATTTGCCATAGACATATGCAACTATAGATTTACTTAAGGTAATTCATTATGTAATTGGATATATAATAAATGTTAATTTATTTATTTGCTTAAAAATTTCTTTTATTATTTTTTTTTTTTTGCTAATTATATAATTTAATGGGCTTTATTTCCGTTACTATATAATTAAATAGGCATTATGTTAAAATTACGTCAATTATCAGGT